CAAAATTTCATCTGTCCATTCTCCATGTTGCGGACAGAGTTGTAACGGGTCTTTGCATCTTACTTTAAGAAGATATGTGATTGTCTGCTTCTAGAGAAGTAGTGTGAAGAAATAGGGTATGATAGTAAATTGATAGTGGAAGGTGGAGTGAAGAGACAAAAGTTAATTTCTGCCACGCCATAGTTTAGATGAGTCACTGAACTCCAGACTGCAGTTTCTTTCTTTGTACATTGAACTTGTGAGCATGAACACTTGACAGGCTCTTGATGTGCTAACAGAAGAGAGAATTCCTGGTTACTCTTCCTGTCTCTTCTCTTGTCCATCGGTTGCCTCTCCCTTGCCTAGCGCTCGTTTGTGCCATCACATTAAACTATAGATCCGCCTGTTCTGCTCCCCACTCTGTCTCTGGTGAATCCTCTCACCCACCACACCGCTAGCCTGTACCCCAGTTCTTTAAGCATAAATACACCAATCTTTAAAAAAAAAAAACCCTCGCTGCCCTGATGATTATTGTCATGAATTAGTTCTCCCTGCTTTTTTTGTATTAATATTTAGGACTTATTTGTATTTTCCTCAACTTTGTTGTGGTTAATTGATAACCAAGGGTGAATATAAATATGAGTACTTTAATATATTGTTCTTCTCTGTCTTGAGAAATTTCTTGGAACTTTCAGTTAATTTCAATGGGGGAAAAATGCTCTTCTGAGTCCCTGAGTGAATATTATAACATTATGCAGAGCCATTGAGAAGTCCCATTGCCAAGGACAGTTCACTCTCTGTTGAAAATAGCTACATGACATGGTAGGCCAGCGGGCTTTCATTTGTTACCGTGTAATGCGACCTTGAAGTAAGGCTTTCCTACCTGCTTACACCTAAAAAAATAAAAAACAACTGGGTGAGGTGCGGGGGTGAGAAGATTCACCAGAGACAGAGTGGGGCGCAGAACAGACAGATGGACTGAAATACACTGCTGAGGGGAGCAGCAGGCGGAGGTCAGGAGAGGTCTACTGCGCCATGTGGGTCACGCCTCTGGCCAGGGATTGAACTCCTGCTGCAGTGGCTGCGGACAGCTTCATAGTGCTGCGCTTTAACCCTTGAGCCACTAGGCAGGGCACCTCTTTCACTTTTTCAAGAGAGAAGCCATGGTGCTGTGAAAGTCTTGAAGGGGAAGATTTGGGGTGGCTTTCCCAAGGAATGACGTTTTGGCCTCAACCAGAGTTTATTTCCTAGGCCTTCTCCGTCTGCCCTCCCCATTCTCACAAGGCTCCATGGGATCCCAGCTGCACACTGACCTCCCCGGAGGAGTGAATATAGCGGGTGTGGGTGCTGGGCCACCACTTCCCAGAACCACTCAGCCGGCGACCAATGTGCTTTCCCACATTTTTTTCTCACATTATCCCAGAGGCCGATGACACGATCCCTGTTTCCCTCCACGGAGAGGAGATAAGGCTTCTGTAACTGCTGAGTCACAGGCTAGTGACTCACCGAGCCCGAGCCGAGCCTCAGGAGGGCCTGCACACTTCAGCACCACCTCGCCCCGCACCCCAGCCCCACACCCCTTTGCCCCACAGACACATGACCTTCCTCAGCCACTTCCTCCTAGCGGGCAGCTGGTCCTGTTACCAGGAAAG